CCCCAAAACCCCAAAACCCCAAAACCCCGCGTATGAATCGAAGGTTGTATTCAGACATTAAAAGAATTATTCATGTCATGATTTTATTTCTGCAAACTAAAAATGAGGATGCATCCTTTTAATATTTAGATATAATATAACCCCAATGCGCAACCTTGCTTTTGCAATCTGTCCCTCCTAACCTAGCTGGAGCCTTGCTTACTCATCCTACTTCCAGTTAATTCCTACGACCAAGTGTAGGTCAACTTCAACCTAAAATGTTCTTTTGGCAACTAAAGAGCGATAAGGGATTGCAAACCTTTTAGGCAGAGTTTGGGAGGTAGGATTTGGTCATTAAATTATTGAATGAAATTAGATCCTAGTTAAGTCGACAATATGGTTTTAGTGTTTAGCTTCTCTCCTTTTTGAGTCTTTTGCGCTGTAGAGAGGTTCCAGTCCTTCGGTTCCGAGATGACAAGTAGGTTTTTTTGAGAGCTTCTAATTGAGCTTTTGACTTCGGATTGGATTTGGTGCGTTTAAGACGAGGGCGTCGGTGAGGAGGAGGACGGGTTAATTGGGTTATTGGGTTAGGATTTTGGAATTTTGGAGACGAATGGCTATAGGGGGGTTAGATGGAGTGTTTGGAGGATGAATATTAACCTTGCTTCTTTTTCTTTAGGACTGTTTTCCATTCGAACCATCGGTGATTTTAGCTCTGTATCATCTCCATTTTCTTCACTAATGCTTGAAGAACTTTCATTGTAGCTATTATTAATCTTGCTTTTTCTTTCTTCGATCTGTACATTAATTTTATTCCAAAATGTTGTATTTACTTACTTGTCCTAGACCATCAGTGAAATGATTTTCATGATCTATATTGCCAGTTTCATTCGTCTTTCCCACATCCATCTTACTATTGTTGTTTTGTTTAATACATCTGGATATATCCTTCAATCTATTGTTTTTGCTGTTTAATATTTCTCTCGACGAGCTTTGGTTACTACCCCTACAACAATAGTGATTGGCTTACTCTTGGTTCATCATAATAACCATGGTGTCGACTCTGTCTGACTAAAACTACTTAAATTGTTATACCTCTGATATTTCTTTGGCATACTTCAGTTTTCTACTTGATAATCATTGTTTGATTTTGAGTGCCAGTTGTGTGACTGATTTGCAGATTACGAGGATGCTCAGGAGGCAAGTGTGGAGAGTTGTGCAGTAGATTATAGTTGTGGTTGCAGAAGGAGTCCAGTCTACATGGGCGGTGGTGTTTATTAGGAAGATTATTAAGAAGAGCAGGATAGTTTCGCTGATAAATTGCATAAAAAATTCTATGGATTTGTAAGGAAAATTTTCTATTTTTGCGATTGCTGCCCAATAAAAGATTTGTAGAAGGAGCATGATCCATAATACAATTTCACCTGAACTGTAGAGCATTATGAGAGATATTGCAAACACAATTTTTCTCGCCATCATCAGAGGATGATAAATTCTAGCTATGTTATCTCTCCGAAGACCTCTAAATAGTTCCCCAAAGAGTCTTCTTGAATCAGAGTAAATATTATCTCTCATTTCCTCATTTTCTATTTCTTCATTTAATTCCTCTTGGTGATACTTTTGCTCTTCCTCATCCCTTATCTGGTCTTCATTTCGTCTATTTTGATCTTCTCCAGGATTTAGCTCCTCGAAATCATTCTTATTATGATAGCAGAAATATATTCACGAAAATACAAAGAAAGCAATCAAGCCTACGAAGATAGTATAAGCAATGACTCGAGATGCTATTGAGCATGAGTCAGAGCAGGTGTTCCTCCATATTTCGTTGAAACTTGTTAAAGTTAAACCAAGGAAGGTCATCAGGATTATTCTTATATAAATAGAGATGAATAGTTTCCAAGGAAACCCTTCATTCATTTTAAAGGCTTTTGAAATGAAGTTTGTGATTTTCTTTCATCACTTTAAGCATTTTCTTTTACAGCTAGTTTGATTGACTTGGGACTGAGCTCTATTATTTTCATGAGTATCATTCACTCCATTATAGCTATATATCATTGATTTTAGTTACTCTGAAATCTGAGGAGAACAATCTTTTGGGATTGCAGATATGATAGCATAGAAGATCAGCAGCATAAGATTCGCTCCAATTATCAAACAGAACAATAGAAGAAGGTTCCGATTGGTATAAACTGTACTGACTGAGTTGTATTTTAGCCTCTTGGCAGCTTGATTAGGATTCTCTAGGTTAGTACCTATGATAAATCCTGAAATTAAAAACATTGCATTGAAACATTTTCCAAGAAATTGAAAGTCAAGCATTATGAACCTGGCCTCTCCAATTAAAAATCTGACATCTGGGTGGATGTAAGTATCAACTAATAAAAGTAGCATTAAGAGCTGATGATAGTTTATCAAAATGAAGGCTCCAGAAGGAGAGCATTTTCATAGAAGTGAAGTGATCAAACTAAATGCTATTGCTCATATTAAAATGATAGGAAATATTGTCGACAGGATGTCTAAAGCTTTATTTTCTGACACTTTTCCATCTCTCTCTGGGATTTTAAAAGTTGTTGTGTGAGAGTATCCTGAATGAACCCCCGTAAAGTTTGGTCTTCCTGCTAAATTCAAAAGTTAGTATGGTTAACAATGATTGTAGAATAGGGATAATTAAATGCTCAAAAATATACAGAGGAAAATAGGGTATCTTTCCTTTATTCTTTTCAATTTGAAAGTAAATATTGTTTGCATTAGTTTCTTCAGAAAGGATTAATATAAATATTTCTTGTAGGTTTTATTCTAAAAGGAAAATTCTATTACAGGAATCAAGCCTAGCTTCCAGTTAAACTGAAGATTTTCTTTCTGAGTATATTCCGAATTCCAATTTGGATTGTTAAGAATAATCAATGTATTATAAAACATTTAACCACTTTTTCTTTTCAAAATCATTCTAAAGCTAGTAAAATCATCAATAAAATAACCCAAAGAATTTCTAAAAGTCAGATGTACTATCAATTTTACACTATAGCTCTAAAAATGTATATTACAGAAAATTTCCTATCAGATAAAACACTAATTATTGATCGCTGTGAGAGGATCTAACTCAAAAATGCAATAATTTATCTTGAGCCTTATTTTCTTCCAGATTTTAGTTTATCCATAAACCTGATATTTACAATAAATAACTTTGGTGGTCGGTGCTCGATTAATAAATTTAAAAATACAAATAATTAAGCAAAAACTTACTAAAACTTCATATGTAGTTCTTCAAATCGGGTGACATATTTGTATTATTGATTGTCAAGTTCCCTAAATTAATCCCAACAGCAGCTATAAGCATCAGGTGTAAAATCTTACCAAAAGATGTGCTTTTATTATGGTGATCTTGTCCCCATCACTTTATTTCGTACTCAACCTCTACCAGATCACTTGTATTTCAGAAAGTTTGGCAAGTATCATTTGATTTCTTTTGAAATTGCTTTATTTTAAACTCTCCTTCTTCTGGTCAATATGGGCAATGGTATTCTCAGACTGAAGGGCCTTCCTTAGTGTATTCTCATTGCCAGTCTGGTTCTATCTGGCAATCTTTGTCGCAACCGTCATTTCCAATAATATTGCCATCATCACAAGGTTCTGTTCCATTCCTAAAGCCATTGCCACAGGTGAGTCTGCACTGGTTTATAGTAGTCGGCATCTGTTCGTATTTAGGAGGGCAAGACACTTTGGTTGATATTGGGGCGTCTCTGTTATTGAAAGATCCGTAATTTAATTTTGGTATAGGGACATATCCTTCACCAATATTCCAGTAAAGAGCAAGTCTTGCATTTCCTCGAACATCTGCCCAAGTAATATCAATTACATATTGATGAAATGGTTGATTTTCAAATACAAAATATATTTTATTATCTCTTGAGCTGCGAATCCAATTCTAAGGTATGTTAAATATCACCAAGTGTTATTTGTTATGTGTTTTAGTAAAGTTTTGGATATATGTTTAAAATTAATAGAATTCAACTCAAACAAAAAGCGTATAAAACTTTTTCAAGAAGTTTCAAACTTAAATTATTTTGCCTAATCTTTTACATTTGTTAAAATAATATCAATCCTTAATTTTTTTAATTCTTCTAGCTTATGTTGTTATTAAATTTATGGTAACTAGAAAAATTACCTTGAATCCGTCGGAAGTGTAAGGAGAGGGGTATCTGTCACTGTCTGGTTGGCCAGAGTTTTGGCTTATATGTTGTCCATTAATATACCTAATTTATAAGTTAAGCAATGCTCTAAAAATAGCCTATGTTATCAATTCTCAAAATAAGCTCCAAATGCATTTTATCCTTTCTTTGTAAGATTAAATGCAATTGCTGATTTTAAATTTATTTTGAGAGGTGTTTCGTATTCAAAAACAAATATTTTTGAAATGATAAAAGAGTTTAAAACTTACAGATCAGCCTTATCGTCTTGAATCAGCATCATTGATGTAGGCCCTGCATGGAAGGGGGTAAGCGTTCCTCGAAATGTCGCTGCGCAGTCATAAATATCACTATATACAAATAAATAAAATGTAAATATTTTAAATCAAATTGGTTTTAAAACTTTTACCAAAGTTTTATCTAAATTTTGTACAATTGCATCCATTTTATAGTTTACAAGATGTGTATTTAAAGAATTTAGTTCAGAGCTTGGGCTGGCTCTGGATTTATCAAAACAACATATAAGTGTCATATGTTGGCTGTTCACTAATTTATTCAATGTGAGTAAATTTTAATGGGCTTAATTTTAGGACAATCTTATTAATCCATTTGTATGCTTTATTACTTTATTCATCTATTGCCAATATTTTAATTTAAGGTATAAGGTTTTACTAAGTGTTTTCTGTTATCGATTTGTTATTTATTTTTAAATTGTGAAGCAAAAGTGTAATCAGAATACAGTTTTATATTTATATTTTCCATTATTTTTACACTTTTAACCCACTATCATTGAAAATATTTTTGAGTGAATTTTATTAAGAATTTTTTTCTGTAAAAAAAAGAAACTTAGAGTTTAAGCAAGGGTACCTTGATAATGATGTTGTTGTCAAGCAGTGTATAAGTCCAGTGTAAGATAAATCAATGTTTCTAAAAATTATACAAAGAATACTCAAATAGGCATGAATAATCAATGCCTTCATTGATATTAAAATTTTTATAAAAATTAGCCTGGACATCTTGGTGGAGATATTCCATCACTTGAATCTGAGCATTGCCTAAATTTTGTGCCAAAATATCAATAGAATATGTTCCATCTCCATTATCTTTCATTTCAGCTATATCGTTTGTACCTATAAAACTGTCATTCTCCAAACTTAGTTATGATTTCTAATTGTCATAAGAGGACTTTCACTTTAGAATTTGGTAAGTTGCAAAGCAAAAACTCTTGAATTTTTCTAGTTTCTTGAAAATCAATAATATTTTTCAGTGCTCATAACTTCTTAAAACAGGATGAACTAATATGTAGCCTTCATAAAGTTAATTTATAGAAGGTGAGCCAATAAAAGTGAGTATTAATTTGAATAGCTTCTAACACTCTAAATGCCATTATGACTCCTAAAAGCTATGACTAAAACAAATGAAGACTAGTACTAAAGCTAAACTGGCATCCTAATCCCTGTTATGTAACTGTATAGTGAGGCTTACCATTATTTGGGAATGCTAAAGGCATGGTGCATGAGGAGGAGGGAGGGCAAATTCTTTCAATTTTGGCATACATAAGTCTGCCATGGTTGTTAGGCAGATCTAGGAGAGGATGGGAAATTGTAAGTCAACGTGTATGTTGAGTTTATCAGTAATTCTCCATCCGTTGGGAAGGGCAAAGGGGACGTCCATAAGGCTGTAGGTTAAGGGAAGTAGTACTTGGTACAAGTAAGAGCACAAATAGGAGCAGATTTATGGCTGTTTGGGAGGATTTGAGTGGGAGCTTGGTTTTTGAGGGGTTTTGGTGTATCTTTTCTTTGGGGTGGTTTTGGGCTATTTTAAGTCAGAATACCGAAATTATAATTGGGAAGTATTGAGTTCTTTTTGATATTATAAGTGTGAGATTAACTTAAATATTTTGAATAAACAAATTAGCCTTGTTTCCAGGAGTCAAAATAATATCCATTTAATTCACTTTGTTTATTGAATTTTTTAAATGTCAAGCTTTTTGAATAAAATCAAGCGAAATATTTTTATTTGCTTCTCTGTGGTGATATAACCTTAGATTTTGATTCATGCACTTAAAATTCTGAATTATAGGATATTATTTGTATCTTACTCATTTTATTTCAAAATATTTTATTATATCAATCCAGTTAAACTTTAAAGGGGTTTTGGGGTTTTGGGGTTTTGGGG